TGTGTGTGTGTGTGTGTGTGTGTGTGTGACTGTGTCCTTTTCATGGACTGGAGACCTGTTCAGGGTGTAACCTCCCTCTCACACACAGACTCCTGGAAACAGGTCCCACCTCCCCTCAACCCAGGAGGGAGAAACGGGTTAAGACAATGAATGGATGGAACAAACGTCACATACACACCTTAATGACAAAAGTTTGTGTAGCAGTGACACAACAGTGTTGGGTCACTGCTACACAAACGTCCACAAACACACCTTAATGACAAAAGTTTGTGTAGCAGTGACCCAACACTGTTGTACGATCTCATGCTCTGCTGCACTGTCACTTTAATGTGACTCCTTTATGTTTATTAGGTACCACCATTGCTTGTTTTTTTATGCATCTCATTAGAGCTGAATATCAGTGCTGTATTTTATTGTACATCTGGCTTTTGTAAAGGTGGCTTTCACAGTGTTGTTGCTGCTTGGTACTTACAGCGTCACTGGCAGTATACAAACATCTACTTGCTTGGTGTTTTTTTCTTTATAGCCTCATGATACCATTTGTATATGTAAGAACACTCATTTCAGAAACATAAACATGGAAGAAATTGATGTCCACGTTGCTATTATGGGTTTGACTTGGACTTTACTTGAAGACAAGAACATATGACAGTAAGTAAGAACCTTGGTAAACTGTTGGATATTCAGTAAGTTAAGTAAGATAATCACAAATCACAATGAACGAGAACCAGAGATCTTTTGTTTCAGAAAGGTATCAGGGCATCAGTTGTCATACAGAAAGCACTCTCTCACTAAAAGTCTCCTGACAGCCTTCTGGGGATCGTTGATCAGAAGTAAAATTGTGTGATTTGATCCAAACCTGAACCACTTCTATGAAGCCAACCAGACTTCAACCGTATTACTCCATCACTGCAGTCGAACATGATGGTGGCAGCAGCATCACCTGTGCTCTGTTTATCCAAAAAGGGACACAGTTATGTCCATTAAACAGGTTTTCATAAGGCTCAAATATTTATTTATATACAGTGGGTAAAATAAGTATTGAACACGTCACCATTTTTCTCAGTAAATATATTACTAGAGGAGCTAATGACATGAAATTTTCACCAGATGTCGGTAACAACCTAAGTGATCCATACATACAAAGAAATCAAACCATAAATGTCCAGAAATGAAGTAATAATAATCTAGAATGGCACAGGGAAAAAGTATTGAACAC